TTTATCCCATTCCCATTCACTCGGCGCTAACTCCACGTTCTGTTCGCCAAATCGATACGTTTGACACTATAAGTAAATCGTCTCAACAAATAAAGCCTTTTCAACATTATTTGCGAAATATTCTCTTAAAATATGGACACTTTATAAATAAGTAAACTTCTATTTTACCATAAATTATAACCGCTTTAATCTAATACCGCACAACTTAGCAATTGATATAAATATTTTTTAGTTTATATTTTAATTAAATTTATTGTTATATAAAAACATTTGACAAAATGTTTAAAACATAAATTTCATAAACTCCAACTTCAATTATAAAATTCCAACGACTATTATATTTTATTTAATTTACAGACTCTTTTAATAAATCATATACAATAAAGCATCAATGGATGAGCATTTCATTAATTTTATATTTGCTAAGTACTGTAGTTAATAATAATTTGATTAAATAGTTTTATGTCTAACCATATACTGTACAGTACAGTAAGTTACATTCTGTAAAACAAATGCACAATATTGTATTGTAAGCATTGCCAGAGAGTGTCTTTTCAGGCGCCGTTTAACTCTCAATGGCAGTCACTTTACTATATTGTTGAATATACTGTATATACATATATATTATACATTATACATGTATATTAATATAGCATTACAACTATTTGGATTAATGTCTTCAATACAAAAACTACAATTACATTGAATTTTAACAGTGTACTTTAAGTAGATCTGTGAATGTTAAAAAATGAAAAAATTATCTCTCAATACGTTCATTTGAGATTTATATTAAAGATATGTTTTCCAAATATGATTTTTCATTCATTATGATTACAATATTTTATGTTACAATACAAATTTGTATTATCTTTAATAATTCATATATTAATAGTATTACTGAGAGTATACTAGTACTCACTTGTCAGTATACCGAGAATATATCAAAAGAGTGTCATAATAATTATTATTATGTTAAAAAATATCAAAATAATAATTTTTAATTAAACAAAAATGTCCTTTGATTGTAATATTGATTGTAATACTTGTTGTATACCATAAAATAAGCATCATATATTGTTGTCTCATTGAATTATTTGTAAAATGAGTTGATTGTAAGGATTTAATGATTAGAATAGAGAGTAATTAATATATGAGAGAATAGAAGTGATGACATAGAGATTGAAGGGATTCCTAAAAGTTGTATTATTGTATGTTTATTGAATGAAAGCCTCACTTAAACACTAATACATTTGGAAGCAAATGGATTTTTGTAAATTATAACCAATTTCTATAACCATAATTAATAAAATTGAATTGTCCAAAAATTTGTTTTACACCGTGTATACATTTTCTACTTTTTGAATTATTAATCATTGCGCTGAGTTCTGTGCCTGGTAATTAATATATGAGAGAATAGAAGTGATGACATAGAGATTGAAGGGATTCCTAAAAGTTGTATTATTGTATGTTTATTGAATGAAAGCCTCACTTAAACACTAATACATTTGGAAGCAAATGGATATTAAACGCGGGTATGGCGTGCTGTGGTGGTGAATAGGCATTGGTATCATGTCCTGATGTACCGGCAATTTCCGGCACAAAGTTTTCATTCATGGCGTTTTAGTGACAATCGGAAGCCATGCAAAAACATATCATCAAAACTACATATCTCTAAAACATTAGATAACGACCAGAACTAAGAGTTTACTAAACATTTAGTTTACAGAGAGCTTGCGTTGAGAAAAACCGCATTATTCCACGCCTTAGTCCTGTGTTCCTCCCATTCCTCCCATTCCAGTCATACAGCTTCACGACTGAGCCCCGAGTTTTCGATGCTTTTAATACTCCTTAAAAAGTCAATATTGAAGAAAATTGTACCAAAAAGTGAGAGCAATGGTTGAGATTTAGTTTGTGACAGAAATTTTGTGACATAAATAACGGATCCGAATGACAGGGGAGTAATTGAGATGGAATTCGCAAATTCTCTTCTCTACTCATTTATCTTTCCTCGGATACCGTCAACTCATACGAGAATTCAAAATATTCTCTCAATTCAAACTCAAATACTTAATACACTGATAATGAAGGGATGCATAGATGAACTCACATTTATCTGTAGTCTTGCATAACAGTCTACAGAATATTTTGTTTCTACTTATTATATTGATTAGAAAACTGTTATTAACAAATGTGATTCATTTGAGTGCGTGCGCTTGCTTTTTGACACCAAATTACAGTTTTACTTATATTCATAAAACAAATTGTAGAATAAATCAACAATTGAAAACAAAGCGAGTTACAGTAAATAGAAATAACATATCATAATGTACTATATATTATATATTCTTTGTAAAAGTTAGGACACTTATTGAAAACAAGGAATGCATCGATAGCTTGAAAAGCATGAGATATGCCGTAAAAGTTTGTATAATGTTTAGCATATTGTATAGAATGACTTCAATGACAATAAAGAGAAGTACAGATAGACAGAGATAGGCACAGATAGGCAGAGATAGCTGTCATTTATCACTGTAAGCCGGCAAAGGCGTAGAAGCCGTACTGAAACTTTAATGCATCCAATCCTCGTCCCTATGGATGCCTTTCCGGACCATTTCAACGGAAGGGAAGAATAGCATAACATATAAAAGCAAAGCCAAACGACAACTGTTTGTTAACTCCAATTGAAGGTATAGTATAGTGTAGTGATTGTATCGGTATATTAGAGACTCATCAACTGTTTTGGATTATAAATAAGTTCACAATTCATAAAATTTATTCATTTAATAATCAATGTTTATAACTAATAGCAAAAAAGAAAATCAAGACAAACAAAATGTCGTTAAGAGCTTCTCTCCATCTTTCACTCATCCAATTCCCCACAGTCTTCCTCACAAGAACAGCCTATTTATCAAATAGATTTTGATGGAACGGCTTATTTGCTTCTCCATCGCCAGCTCTAAACCTGTATATCAATGGTTGAGCGCCATTTCAGCACATTTTAATCAAACCTTTACTTTTCGATTAATCTTGACTTTAGATTGGGATCTATTTTATACAAATACTTTTTATTACTATATCTCTGGTATATTTCGATTTAAACAAAAATATAAATTTTTGCATATCCTATGAATATAAATAATAAAATAGAGTAAATACTGTATAAAGTATTTCAGTTTCAATTATTAAAAAATTAATCTATTAAAAACAAATACAGTATCTTAAAAATTAAACACTATAAAATAATATAATGAGTTTTTATATAAAAAACAAAAACCGTTTCAATTTGGCTTCTATAAATTTATTATAGGGTTATTATAACAAAAACATTTGAAGTTATATTAAATACATAACTTATTTACTCTAGTAAAATTAAATTATAGGTTTAATTTTCAATTTTTATTAAATGTTTCAATTTAAAAGATATTGTTTGTGCTATAAATTATAGTTTATTATTAAAATATCATTATAAAAGATTTATAAATGTACAGTACTGTATTCCAGATACAGTATCTATCTATTTAGGGTATTAGCTTTAATACAGACAATTGTATAAGAGGTAAGTTCTTACAAGTTTAGAGGTAAGTTTTCACTATAATAAATATTATTAATCAAATAATCAAATAATAAGAAATAGTTATTAATTGAAACTAAAAGTGTAAATTAATTAGGACGGTATAGTATCATGTTGATATTTGCGTTTAATAGAAAAAAGAAACAATTCAAATTCTATTACTGCACCGTGTTTTACAGTATAATTTTTGCTAATTATAAAATGAATGTTCTTTATAAATATTTAAACTCATCTTAGAGCATAATATTATATTGTAGCAAATTAACATAAATTTATTTAAATTTTTTAGAATTGAATAAGAGGCAAAGGTTAATGAGTGTTAATAATAAAACAAATAACAGTAATAGTAGAAATTAATAATAATAAATTACAATAAGAATAACTAGATAACCATTAAACACTAAATTAGCCACATTAGTCACTAAATAACTAAATATATAATAATATTTGAAATAATTTTAAAAATTTTATTTCATTATAATTTACTAAGTGATAGATTTATTTGTACCGGTAATAAATAAATAGTAAAATACGGTAACATGATAATTAAATATGGTATTAAACACTTTAATTAATTATGCTCAAGAATTAAAATAAATTATAGGAATGTTATGAATATTATAATTTATTATTATATTTTCATTATTATATTATAACTTACTGATCTTGTTAATTTTAAGGAAAGGAAACCGCAATTAGATTTTGTAATCATTTAGAAAGAGTAATATTTCATTAAGAAATATAATGTAATGAATTGAAATCATTTATAATTTCCTTTATACTGTATTAAGAAAAGAATACATTAGTCTTCAAAAATATTTATTAATAAGTTTAATAAAAATATTGTGGATTATAAACATATTTTTTGAATGTAACAAATAGTGAAAATTATCCAATTTCTATCGGTACTATATTTTCATGAATATAATAATTATTACATTTAAATTATATGTGAGTTATTAAATGGTAGCACAAATAACAAAATATAGTATTCAATGATAGTAATCATAATAATGATAGTTTGATCCCAACTTTTATCATATTTCAAAACTGTTACACTTTTAATATATGGCAATAAAATTAGTGAATCCATTGTTGGAATCCATTTATGGAAACATCTGTTGACACTCTTGGATCAAATTCTTGGCCGTTTGAAAGACTTCTGTTTCAGACAATTCCGATTGGCTTTCCTTTTGTCATTAGAAATATAGTCAAATCAATACAAATATAATAGCATTCAAATTGAGAGTAATGAACAAAACCTGCAAAACAGTGTTTAAATCATTAAACGCCTGTTGAATACGAGTGATGGCGTCGGGAACCATAATAAGACACTCATTGATCACTTCCTCCTGAAATGACAATAACAGCAGTGATCATAAGACAACAGTTATGGTAACAGTAATGAATGTCAGATGATATACCTGTTTGCGTAACTCATATTCATCTTTGAGTTGACTCCTCATGTCTTCCAAGCGCTTCCTTTCGGTCTCCACTTCCCTCTCGTATATCGTCTTCTCTTTGGTCACTCTTTGTGTCATTCATTCATTTCATACAAATCCAAATCAAATCAATTAAATGTCACATCAAGTCATCAATGCTTTCACCACTACCTCTTCAAAACGCCAGTCTTTATCCTAATTTGGTTCAGTCGCGGATCACTCATCTTTGCAATGCTTCCAATGGATTCAATGGTGATGTAAAGTATAATTAATTGCAAACAAACACTTAATTGTGATTATAATGAATACAACAATCAGTTTATGGTATTCAATGCGATGTCCAACAAAATACTGTCAACACATTCACTCACTCCCACACAATGTCACAGTTTTTGTGAATTTCATCAAACAATGCATTCAAACTTGCCATCTATTACTCACAAATAGTGTATCAATTGTATATGAATACACCCCCAATCAGTATACAATATGCAAATAATTTGTCAAATATAACTATAATCATTTGTAAAACATATTCTCATGTCAAGTAATAAATGAAGATAATCACTGAAACCATTGAATTATATGTTTTGATAACAATTTTTAATTTTTCTATTGTAATAAACTATTGAAACAAAATATACGGACATTTCATACTCAAAGAATTGACAGCACTTTGTGTCACTTTATTTGTGTATAGAATTGATGTTTGAGCTCATCTCAGAGAGCATTGTTTGCCATCATTTGTGTGCAAATCATAACACAATTGATTGGATCACTCATTGACTGATTGTCTGATTGTGTGATTGAATCCAATTCCCAATTGCATTGATCTGTGGTTTGTATTGAATGGCAGACGAACTGGTTTTGGGCGCCGAAGACGGCATCGACAAGGAGTTCGAGGACGAGGAGTACGATGAGGGGGACGGTAGGCATCACCACATGCTATGACCACTGCATTGACTCACTCTTGCCATTGATTTGCAGAAAGTGTGGTCAAAATGAAGGAGAAGGCCACCAGACGTAAAGGCCGTGGATTTGGACCCGGTTTGCACTCTTTGACTCCCATTGGCTGACAATTACTCACCATTTTGTATAACAGAGGGAACGGCGCGCGAAGACATCCGAGAATATGAAGCCATGGATGTGGGCGACGGACACAACGACTCTCCCGGTCCTCAGAAATGTGAGACAATGCTATCTGTTCTCATGGATTGAGTTAACGATTGATATACCGGTTGTCAGCTGTCGAGGGATGGATTCTGTTCATCACTGGTGTGCACGAAGAGGCTCAGGAGGAAGACATATACGACAAGTTTGCAGAGTTCGGCGAAATCAAGAATTTGCACTTAAATCTGGACCGAAGAACCGGATTCTTGAAGGTCTCTAACCATCAGTATTTTGAATCAAAGTTTACTAAAATTAGTTTAAAATAGAGTTTAAACTAAATGTTGAGTTTATTTGACATTTGTATGAAATGATTGCAATAATGATTGACTGATTGGTACCGTTAATCCCGATGCGAAACCAACTCAAGCTCTCGAAGTTCAGACGTTTGCGTCGCGACCTTAGCGACTTGCCCAGGCTGTAAAACCCTGTTTGATAAGTGCACTTGACCACAAAGCACTTCCCCCCACATCTCAGGTGTGTATCTCATCTCATGCTATCATTCATTTGACTTCTTATCCGATTTATACGTTTTACTGAATCCAGGAAAAGGAACCGAAGAGATGATGACCGGCGAAGACATTAGCGATGGATTTATTTCACTCTAATCATAACTTTACTGTATTTCAAATCAAGTCCTTTAAAGCGATTTTCTATTTCATTTCTAAACTGACTGTAAATGACAACTGTATAAGTATTTTGAGCATTGAGTCAATTAATTAAACATTACGTAACCCGAAATTATTTAAATGTCATTTTTATTAAACATTAAATGAATTTTGAAATAAATAAAAATATGATATAAAAAATCTGAAATCTTTAAATATATTTAGAATCCTTTTTGATAGCAAACTAAACTTTAAAATAAACCAAAAGTCGCCTAAATCACTTACCGCGCCTTCACTGCAATTCACACACAGACTGGCCACTCCCCAACGACAGTGAAGTTTAAGTTATTGGGATGAGACCGGTACTTAACCGCTGTCTGAACCCGGCGCAGACTGTCCTTTCACAGAAGACTACAGAAAGGCACTAAATTGCCTACTCTAGCCGCAGGCAGGTTAAGCATGTCTTTCGGTAACGAGACTTGTAAAGCCACGAAATGATTGTTAATGTGTGAGTCAGCCGCCGGTGCCGATGTCTGGCCCTCTTTGGCGTACGTGTGGTGAGCGTTACAGATATCTGCGTTCGCCTCAAGTAGTCGTCCCCTCTCTTCAGGCTTTAGGTCTCGACTCGAGTCGAGGAATGTCTTGAGACTCGACTTGTCTTTCAATTGGATTCGATGGCAATTGTTGGCCACCGCATGGATCAGAGCAATGGTTCCGCACGCGTTGTTAATGGTCTGTCTCATGAAATACACGGCACTCTCCTTGTCGTCAGTCACCTCTTGGTTCGTGTGTTCAGTCGATTGGTTGTCGTCTTCATTGACTGGAAACAGGAGGATGAGTGACAGTACCGGCGATGGCATGAATTGAAGCAACTCTTCGTCCAAACCAATCACATCGACGACACCCCACTCATCGCCCACTCCTATGGCCGACAAGAACTCTGTCATCACCTCCGGGTTGGACTCAATGGGCACCCAATTGTGTTCACTTTCACTCATTCTTGCGGTCGTCCTAACAGTGGTGTCCAACAAGTGATCACTCAATCAGTCAATGGTTAGTCTCCGAGTGAATTGAATGGACGCCAGACTTCACTATATGTCATACAAACCATTCAATGCTTTCACACACTGACAGACACCACGTGACCCCATACTAGAGACCTCAAGCACTGCATTCACACTCACACCCGCATCACTCACACACTCACACCCGCATCACTCACACACTCCTTCACCATAACTTTCATTAGGATTGCAACTCATTTTCAATCACTTATTCATAAAATAATAAAGTATTCAATTTTATCAATTTATATAACTTTTTAGTAAATTATTATATGTGATAACTAGTTAAAGTAAGTTTTCAATAGTTTCATCTATAAAAGCAACTATTATATAAGTTCATGGGTAAGGATATTCTTGAACTCATATTATTAATAAATTTTATATACAGTACATGTCATTATTTAAGGTGTTTACAAGTGATATATTTGATAAAATGTAATTTCTAACACTTATCAACCCCATGTATTACATTATACGACCCTTCCGTATAAGGAATGTCAATATCAACCCCTTACCCTCCTTACCATACATACCCACAGATCAACAAACCGCTCATACATCACCACGACATTATGAGTATGGATAGTGCCGTTCATAGAGTGCTCACAACAGTACCTCTCGTATGCATCCATTCACTCATAGCCTGATTGAGTGCTAGCAATCGTAGCTCAGCAGGTGAGATACAGAGTAGACAAACAAACCGTAAACTAACGTTAATTTCGGCAAAGAGTAGTGATTGAGTTAGGTTAACTAGGGTTACATACTGAGCATACTTACACTGTTAGAAGTGATGGTCGAGTGAGAGATACACTGCAGTGACACTCGTGGAGACATTATTACTATTATTAACGCTTTGATTGGTTTTGAATATTTGGATAAATTGTCGAAAGATTTGTTGGATTTCTCGTAAGAAACACAGTTTTCGTCGTCACTTGGGGTCAAATGAGATGTAATATAGTGTTGGCTCTGGTCCACAACAAGCCATTAGTGAAGCATTTGTCATCATTTGGTGAGTATTTCACTGCAAATATATTCACAATTCATGTTCAATTCAATATTCAGTTAACACAAGCTTTTGAACTTATTTTCATATTTCTCAATATGTTTGATATGTTTTACGATTGCAAATGTTTTGAAGCAAAACTACAATTTATGTGAAAATAAATTGAAATCAAAGACAATATATTATATATATATTTGGGTCTAAAAAATGAGTTTAAAGTTTGTGTTTAAAAGTATTGAGCGATCAGTCCATTAAGTCTTATAAGTTATATGTATTAGAGAAATGGTTTCAAAAAATAATAACATTTATAATAAAGTCGTTTTAAAGTGTATATTAAGTCAAGAATAATGTATTT